GGGGGGGGGGGGGGGAATAAAACCTTCTTAAGAAAGCCCGTATTTTGCACAAGTACGTGTGGCACGCGTTTCTATGTTTGCGGGCGTGCACGCAAGCAGACAACCACGAGAAACACAGTTATCGTCCCGCCATGGGTGAAAAACGCTTCTAATCAAGGTTCATCCATCGGTTCATTGAAAACCCCACCACTGCAATTCCAGATCTTGACGCTTGAGTTTCTCAGCCGAGACTAAAGACAGCTTGGTCATGTGTCTCCCCCCCCATCTGCGCTCGCTTCCTCATTAGCGAAGCCCCCACACCCCCAAAAAACCCAGATCAGCCCTCCGCTGTTTTAATTAGATGGGATTGTAATCCTTGGCGCTCTTCCCTCCGCACTTCCCAGGCGTCTCCGCTCCGCTTACCTGCTTCTGCTCCTCTCCTAGGCTGTCCCACATCGAGGCCACGATCTTTGAAACCTCGCCAAAGGTAGCGTTGGGGTTCTGCCCCTTAATTGCGGCTTGGGTGTCCCTGAAGAACAGGGCATATGCGGACACCGGCTTCTGCGGCTCGTTAGGATCTTTCTTTTTCTTTTTCTTCGGCGTTTTGGGCTTCTTGCCAGGATCTGGGGCGGCTCGCTTTTCTCCGGCAACCTAGCAGAAACAAGGAGAGAGAAAAAATCAGCCTCGTCTTTTTCAGATGGCCAGATGTGATTAAAACACAGCAGGCTTCCCATCGGAAGGGAAACAGATGTGTTGGAAAGGGAGAACAAGGACTCGGCTGCGACTCCGTGAAGCTATAGGGCGCTGAGGGCTAATCTTTTTGTCCCCACGTGCCAAAATCATGCACGCATGAAAGAGAGCGCATGCACTTGTGGCCACACCCATAATGTAATGCGCCCCCTGTGCATGCATGTGTGACCGTGTTTTCCCCCATGCATGCGCGCATTCAAAAATGCAACCAGTTATCTGCCCATTTGCTGAGTGGGCGTGGCCATGGTGAGCGTGGCCTACCCAGCCGCCTGCACCACCGGGGGGGGGGGATTTTTGCCCTCCCCAGCCTTTGGAGGGTTTCATTGAGGCTCCAGGAAGGAGAAAATGACCTCCTCTGGGCTCCGGAGGCCAACCCAAAAATCAGTTAGCTGGTGACCTGCATGCATGCATGCGTGGTGGAGCTCAGCTGGGGGATGGCTCGCGTGCCCACAGAGAGCACTCCATGTGCCACCTGTGCCATAAGTTCGCCATCACGGCTATATGGAGTCCTCAACTTACGAACATGACCGGGGTCAGCATTTCTGTTGCTAAGCAAGGTAGGTGATTGGAGTCATGCCTGATTTTATGATCTCTATTTATTTGTATCCCTTTATTATTTTTGCAAATATATCAAGGCAGCAGACTTAGCCAACACACCTGCCTCCTCTATTTTCCAATGACAACAGCCCTGTGAGGTGAGTTGGACCGAGAGGGAGGGACTGGCCCAAAGTCACCCATCTGAATTCCATGGATAAGGTGAGACTAGAACTCACAAACTCCTGGAGATTGGCCCAAAGTCACCCATCTGAATTCCATGGATAAGGTGAGACTAGAACTCACAAACTCCTGGAGATTGGCCCAAAG